TTATCTCCGCCTTTCGGGCTCTTGTCTGCTCCATTAAAACCAGAAGTCTTCGATTTGATGTAAACAAGAATTAGTGCTGCAGGCTGGAACAAGGACATCCTGGTTCGGTCGGCAAGTATTCAGTTCGGCTCTGTATGTCTTGTTCAGTCCTCATTACCTCAGGGTTGATTACAGGGTTGTAATGAACCAGCCTGCACTGGGGTTGCTTCCCACGGGGCGGAAAGCTGAATATTGTTCACACCTTCAATCTCCGTATTCTAAAGCAAATTCGGAGTCTCCAGTTGCGCCAGCAGACGCTGACCGGCTGTTTTGGCTATAATTGGATGGATGTTTCTGCAAACTAGCCTCATCGTTTTACAGAGTTGCGATTTTATTACATACGGCGTATATCCACTCCGAATCCGGAAATGTTTGCCAGGAGGTAAACTTGCCGATTAGCAAATTGTGGTCGTGAGCTAAGCTTCTGCGATTAAAGTTGGGTACCCATTACCTCGAACGACTATGCACAGTCTAAATCGGTAGTGCTACCATGAGCGAGGCCCTTGGGTGCCACTAAAGTGGCTTTCTTTGGTTTTATGTCAGATGGCCGGGTTGTTGACTTGGTACGAATAAGGTAATCGAGGCTCAGTCGGGCCTGCAGTTGCGAAAACCGGCCCATAATAAAGAAGTGGTACGCCTACTCGTAATTTAAGGGCTAATACCAGGGCTGCCTTACTCGGCTGACTGTTCCAGATTCGTGCCCGTTAGGATCTCCAATATGTTCGTAGTGGGCTAGGCCGAGCGCACAGTACAGTACAACGTTAAAATCCTTTAGGTGTACTCAGTTATCATTTCATTATACATATTTATGGAGTGGTGTCTACAAGAAGGGTTCGAGGAATGAAAGCCAGTTTGACCTAATAATGCGCAGTTTACGGGAAGTATTACTGTAATGGTCGCATGCAGAATTGCAAAAACAGATGGGTAGGCAGCGTGGCGGTGCACTTGTAAATTATGGAAAGTTAGCGTTGGACTTTATTTTTAGGCAAAATTGTTCAAGCAACGCCATTTTCGTTACCCGAATTTCCAATGAAACCTTTTCACTTGTTTTTATAAGCCATATAACTTTGCTATATGTAATAAAATTGTTGTTACAAAATCGACTTTTTTCACCCGAGTGCCGATAAGTACAGGTGACCTCACGAGAACAATTGGGTGGCTTCGGAGAGCGAAACTTGTGGTGTTTGAGCCCTGAATTAACTCCAGAGTCTGACTGTTACCTTATATGATGACCTTGTGAATAGGACTTCACCTGGATGCCCTTTTGAGGGTGGCGTGTGTCAATCAATACTTGCTTCTTGAACAGAGTTACAGATGCTTTGCTCATAACAGGGAATTAGGTGAATTTTGTGAGTATTAGTTATTATGCGGTTTTTCTCTCAAGCGTGGGGTTGGTATCTGTTTCTGTGCACGTTGATTACCAGTATTCTTAGTTATGGTCGAAATATGAGATCATTTGTATCTTTGCAGTAAACCCTACAACTCTTAGCACGTTCGGTGTCGCGAAGAGCCGGTTAGTTTCGTAACTTACCATTGTGAGTCACCGGCGGATCCTAGTTGCTGTGCGGACGAGTCGTTGACACCAATTGTGTTGACCTGTTTTGGCCTGCTAGCAGTCTTTGTCATGTTTTGTCACAAACTAATGTGTGGTTGGTTGGTTAGTAGCCCTTATTGGATCAGGAGTCCCCGCCAGAGTCCAGACTAGGTGCAGTTGGAAGACGGAGAAAAGCCGAGAGCTTAGTCGGCTTGAGCCAAAGGTCCACGGGGGTGAGTTGGGTGCCTGGCCGGGAGCTACATGCGAAGAGATGCTGACAGTCATGCGGCGAGACGTCGCAATCGGGACAGCTATCGGGTGTGGACAGGTGGAATATGTGTTCGTAATGGCGAAGGAGCATGGAGTAGCCACTGCGTGGTTGCGCCAGGGTACAGCGAGTGACCCTCAAGAGTTGTCGTTCCATGGCCGCAATCGGAGGTGGATATCCACCCAAGAGGACCGGGGGAC